GCTCCACCGCTCAGCCTCTGGAGAGATGCGAACCTCGGTTTTCTCGCGAGTCCGTTTTGGAAACCGTGAGAGTAAAGTTCACCTTTTGAACCTTAAGCATGCAGAAACCACCCAATACTCATTTAATTAGGGTCGCATCCAAGATATTGGCAGAACTTTGACAGCAGTCATTGTCTAGGACCTACATCTTCCGCTCTGTCCTTCTTTCCTCCTTCATCCTATTTCTTTGTCGCTTTCCCCCTCTCCCTCTCTGCCGAAGAAGGTTCCAGAGCCGAAACGTTGCTTCTTTTCTTTGCCTTTCAGCACAGAATGAACCTTTACCTGCTCTTCTGTATCTTCTAAATTATTTATATATGTATTTCTATAGAAATGTCAAATCTTTCCTGTTAAAGTTTTTGTCAGATTCCTGGACAGACTGATGTCCCCCTGACGTTTCTGACCCGTTTCTTGTGTTGAAAGGGGCCACAGCAGAGGAGGTGAACCGTCACTGGGAGTGGCTGGTCCTGAACCTCTCGCACAGCCTGTCTGTCTTTGAGAACAAGGAGGACGTTGCCAGTTTCGTCAAGGGCAAAGTGAAGGTAGGGGAAGGGCACGGTCTGCCAGGAAGGGCGTGGGCCAGCCTTGTCCTTGGGAGAGTCCAGAACGGGCAGGACGGCCGGGCTTGGGTTTAGCCAGGGAGCTGCCAGCTGATGCCGGGAATCTTTTGCGAGGCTGGGCAGTTCCACTGAACTGAGTGAAAGGAAGATTTTCTAGGTTTACCACAGAATACACTCAGGCTCAGGGTGTTTTTTATAGGTGTGCGTTCAGAAAAAAAAAACCCTTACTCTCTGTCTGTTAAGGGAGTGCCAAAAGGTTCATTATGGACAGTGATGGATCCTTCCTCTTCTTCTGCTTTTCTCGTATCGAGTAGATTATAACCGCGCTGCAGGCACTGCGCCCATCACAGGCTTTAACTGCAGCACAGACAGACAGACAGACAGGCACACCCTCCCGTCCTGAGCCCCTGCCCCTCTCCCCCAGGGCCTGATCGCTGAGGAGGTGCGGAGCAGGCAGGCCGCCCAGGAGGAAGACCCGGAGCGGTTCCGAGAGGCCTCGCTGAAGTTCGAGATGCGCTTCGGCCTGCCCAGCTCGGAGAAGCTGGTCCACTGCTACTCCTGCTGCTGCTGGAAGGGGCGGGTCCCCCGGCAGGGCTGGCTGTACCTCAGCATCAACCACCTGGCCTTCTACTCCTTCCTGCTGGGCAAGGAAGGTGCGCCCCCCCCCCGCCAGCTCGCGGAAAACTGGCTTGGCCAATGTTGCGATGCCGC